CGAGCCAGGAGCATGGACAAGAACGCCTACGCCATGGCCAAGTTCGGCTTGGAGTCCAGGGACAACCTGATCTCCAAGAAGGACTGCGGCTTCTACGTCAAGTATATCTTCCTCTTCACCTCGGTCATCCAGTTCCTGATCATCCTGGGACTGGTGCTCTTCATGATCTACGGCAACGCCCACGCCGGCACCGACACCCACCTGCGGCACCTGGAGGAGCAGGTGCAGGAGCTGTACGGCAAGGTAATGGAGCTGAACATGAAGAACCGCAACCTGACCCTGCAGCTCAATGCTACCACCAAGGAGAAACTCACCTACTTCCAGATGAAGGTGGCGACGCGAAGAACCGCAACCTGACCCTGCAGCTCAACGCTACCACCAAGGAGAAGCTCACCTACTTCCAGGTGAAGGTGGCGACTCAGAAGGAGCTGGAGAAATGCAACAACAGCCTCCGGGCCTGCAGCAGCAAAGAGGTAAGCCTGCTTTGGAGGACCAACTAAAAGGGCAGCTAAAATGATGAGGGGTTTGGAACGGGTCCCATATGAGGAGAAGTTAAAGCGACTGGGACTTTTCAGTTTAGAAAAGAGGAGACTGAGGGGGGATAGGATAGAGGTCTATAAAATCATGAGTGGTGTGGAGAGGGCCGATAAAGAAAAGTTATTTATTAGTTCCCATAATAGAAGAACTAGAGGACACCAAATGAAGTTAATGGGCAGCAGGTTTAAAACTAATAAAAGAAAGTTCTTCTTCACACAGCGTGTAGCCAACCTGTGGAACTCCTTGCCAGAGGAGGCTGTGAAGGCTAGGACTATAATAGAGTTTAAAGAACAGCTAGATAATTTCATGGAGGTTACGACCATAAAAGGCCAGGAGATAAAATGGTGTCCCTGGTGTCCCTGGCCTCTGTTTGTCAGAGGCTGGAGAGGGATGGCAGGAGACAAATCACTTGATCATTGTCTTCGGTCCACCCTCTCTGGGGCACCTGGTGCTGGCCACTGTCGGCAGACAGGCTACTGGGCTAGATGGACCTTTGGTCTGACCCAGTATGGCCCTTCTTATGTTCTTATGACCATCCCCTAGGGGGCACGTGCCCGCTCCGTCCTTCCAACCCTCCATCCTCGCGGGCGTCTCTCACCCTTCCTAGAGCCTGGTGTAGCAACCCCGCCATCCCTTGATCCTAGGCTGGTGGGCTGTCTATCCCATAGCCCCCACCAGGACCTCTTCTTGGTCGCAGCCAAGAGAGAACAAATGCAATGCACATTTCAGAGCCAAATTCACCCTCGGGTACAGGGCTGGATTACCCAATAGGCAGACTAAGCACGTGCTTAGGGCACCAGCAAAGCAGGGGCACAAAAAAAAGAGAGATTTTACAGTATAGTATTGTTTTTATTTTGAATTACATAATCTTTTCAGTGCTTAGGGCCTCTAAAGGTCTTAATCCAGCCCAGGGGGTAATCCATGGAGTCCCACCATGTCTGGCCAATCCATCCGGCCCTTCAGGGACAGATGAAGATGATATGATTCACTGTGGCATGGAGGTATTTTTCCAAGCAGGAAAGTGACCAATTCAGATTTCATCTCGAAATAGCTTCATCTGCTGATGAGCGCTGTAAATGTTGGGACCGTGCTATTGAGCATCCAATCCATGGGGCTTGGCTGTAATGTACGTAGACATGGTAACACTAGACAAGAGAAATTTGGAAAGAAATTAAAAAAAAAATCTCTTCTTGAGGGCGTTCTATGCTGTTAAAACCCTGCCATGTTCCACCCCAGAAATGGCAGCATTTCAATGGTGGTGAGCGAAATTATTCCTTTATTGTCTCTCCATTCGGGTCATGCTCATTGGTGGCATTTTTTAAAGCTTATCTCTTGCTCATGAGCTAGCTAGAGACAGGGGCGGCCCTAGACTAGCTGCCAGCAACAGGCGCCCTAGGCGAACCATGCAATTGGCACCCCCACCTCCAAGCCCCTCAATGATTTGGCTCCCTAGGCGACTGCCCAGTTCACCTATATGGACGGGCCGCCCCTGGCTAGAGAACTGGGAAAGGGATTTTTTTTTGTTAAAAAAAAAAGCCAAGGGGATTTTCATTCAGCCACATTTTCATTCACCCATTTCCAGACAAACAGAGGCCGGGGACACCGTTCCTACCCATCCTGGCTAATAGCCAATGATGGACCCAACCGCCACGCATTTATCTAGCTCTTTTTTAAAGTCCTAGTCTTCACCACATCCTCTAGCAAGGAGTTCCACAGGTTGACTGTGCACTACATGAAAAAAAAACTTCCTTTTGTTTGTTTGCAACCTGCTACCTATTCATTTCATTTGGTGATCCCTAGTTCTTATATTATGGGAACAAGTACAGAACTTTTCCTTATTCTCTTTTTCCACACCACTCATGATTTTATAGACCTCTAGCATCTCCCCCTTTAGTCTCCTCTTCTCTAAGATGAAAAGTCCAAGTCTTTTTAATCTTTCTTCCTATGGGACCTGTTCCAGACCCCTCATCATTTGTGTTGCCCTTCTCTGAACCTTTTCCAATGCCAATGTATCTTTCTTGAGATGAGACGACCACATCTGTACGCAGTATTCACGCTGTGGGGGCACCATGGATTTATAGAGGCAATAAGATATTTTCTGTTTTATCCTCTATCTCTTTTGTAATGATTCCTCACATTCTGTTTGCTTTTTGGCTGCCGCTGCGCACTGAGTGGATGTTTTCAGAGAACTATCCACAATAATTCCAAGATCTCTCTCCGGAGTAGTTGTAGCTAAATTAGATCCCCATCATATTGTACTTATAGTGCGGATTATTTTTTTCTAATGTGCATTACTTTACATTTATCAACATGAAATTTCATTTGCCGTTTTGTTGCCCAATCACTTAGTTTGGTGAGATCTTTTTGAAACTCCTCACAGTCTGGTTTGGTTTCAGCTATGTTGAGCAGTTGAGTATGCTCATGTTTCGTTTTCGGGTTTCGGTTGAAAATGTTTGTTTTCTAAGAGAGGCTGATTTAGGAGCAAAGAAAAAAACAAGTTTTCTTGGGAAAATATCAGCTGAGTTTCGGGTTTCGGTTGAAAATGTTTGTTTTCTAAGAGAGGCTGATTTGGGAGCAAAGAAAAAAACAAGTTTTCTTGGGAAAATATCAGCTGAGTTTCGGGTTTCGGTTGAAAATGTTTGTTTTCTAAGAGAGGCTGATTTGGGAGCAAAGAAAAAAACAAGTTTTCTTGGGAAAATATCAGCTGAGTTTCGGGTTTCGGTTGAAAATGTTTGTTTTCTAAGAGAGGCTGATTTGGGAGCAAAGAAAAAAACAAGTTTTCTTGGGAAAATATCAGCTACTTTGGGGTGGAGAGCTAATCCGCACTTGTAATCACTCTACTCACGGTGACTCAGCTGTTATGAGGCCCAGATGGTAATAACCACAATGATAAAGCAGGGGCAAGGAACCTTTTTTGGGTCAGAGGCTGCCGACGAGTGAGAAGCTGGTAGGGCAGTGAGGGGGTAGGGGGGCCTGGAGCACCGAGGCGGGTTCCCCAATGCTGGGATAATTTTACGTCCTGTAAAAATCAGCACCAAGATTGGCTTTGAACAGCGACTCAGACTCTCCTCTCTCTAGCTCCGGATCACCCCTAGCCCAGCCCTGCACCAGTCCCGCGGCACCCTGAAGACGGACCCGTTTCTTTGGGCATCAGCTTTCGTGGGCGGGAATCTTTCAGCGGCCTCAAGGCTCCTGGCTGATTCTGCTAAGGCAGACTGACCCGCGGCCCCTCCTGAAGCTTGTGGAGAGGGGGATTAATGCAGAGAGGGCCTGTTCCTACTGCAATCAGGCGCCCGCCACGAGCAGGGACACAGGACTTAGGAGGAGAGGCTGAGGGACCTGGGTGCATTTAGTCTGCAGAGGAGAAGAGGGAGGGGGGATTTGAGAGCAGCCTTCCACTCCCTGCAGGGGGGTTCCAAAGAGGCTGGAGAGAGGCTGTTCTCAGTGGGTACAGACGGCAGAACGAGGAGCAACTGGCTCAAGTTGCAGTGGGGGAGGATATTAGGAAAAACGATTTCCCAGCAGGGCGAGGAAGCGCTGGGCTGGGTTCCCTAGGGAGGGGTGGAATCTCCATCCCTAGAGGTTAAGTCCTGGCTGGACAAAGCCCTGGCCGGGATGATTGAATTGGGGCTGATCCTGCTTTGGGCAGGGGGCCAGATGCGATGGCTCCTGAGGTCTCTGCCAGCTCTGGGATTCTGTGACCCTGGCTCTTTATTTGCAGGGCAGATGTACGCAGAGGTGACAGTGCATGGGGGGGGGCGCCCTGGTGCGCCGCTCCGGCAGAAACTGGCTGAGCTGCGGCAAAAGCCAAGAGGGAGCTATTGAAAGAGCAGGCAGGGACCCGGGTTGCAGTCGGACAGGACCTGTAAGCGGGGGTGTCCCTAGATTGGCGCCCTAAGCGACCCATGCAATTGGCACCCCCACCTCCAAACCCCTCAATGATATTGCGCCACCATTTGGCGCCCCATTTAACTTGGCGCCCTAGACGACTATATGGACGGGCCGCCCCTGCCTGTAAGAAATTGGAAGTTACTTTCAGCCTGGGATGTACCCAAAGTGACTCAGCCAGAGCAGGGAAGGTGAACACTCGAATCGCTGGACCATCCTTCCGAGGCCTATAGTCTCCCCTCCCCGAGGATGGTCCCTGCAGGTCCAGGTGAAGCGGCACCCACCTTTGCTGTAGCTGTTTGGGGCAAACGAACGCCCAGAGTCAATCGGGAGAGAGTCCAGTGCTGCCCAGCTGATGAGCCGAACGCCCACAGCGTGTGCTTCTAGCGGTGGTGCACATCCACCCTGCCTTGGTGCACAGAACAAAATTTAGTCTGCACATGGGAGGGGAAAAAATCTGCTCATGGATGAAAAAGAGGGGAGGGAACATTGGAGGGAAGTGTTCACAACACACAGTATCATCTTGCAAGTCCGACCAGTGCAAAAATCTCCCAGGTTCTGCGGTCCGAGACCCGCCCCCCCCCGTCTCATTCCCGTGAGCCATTCTGAAGAGAACAAAGAGTCCTTGCCTTCTAAGCTCCCCATGGGGATCACGGTGCTGAGCAAACTATTCTGAGCCATAACGAATGCCAGGGAATCCCTGCTTCCCAGAGAAGGGGCTCTGGAACAAAGGACTGCACCAGATCTGGTTTCAAGTTCGCTGTGGGGCTTGGATCCAGGAATTTGGCTCAGGTCTTCTTATAAAGACACATTGTACCGGGACCATGTCCCAAGCACCCCACAGCTCCCAGAGGGATGCATGAGACCTATGGGTCAGCACTTTCTGAACATCAGAAAGGAGCCAGCGGGGTTTTATAGTTACCGAGTAAGAACATAAGAACATAAGAACGGCTGTACCGGGTCAGACCAAAAGTCCATCTAGCCCAGTATCCTGTCTGCCGACAGTGGCCAGCACCAGGTGCCCCAGAGAGGGTGGACTGAAGACAATGATCAAGCGATTTGTCTCCTGCCATCCCTCTCCAGCCTCTGACAGACAGAGACCAGGGACACCATTTCTATCCCTGGCTAATAGCCTTTTATGGACCTAACCTCCATGAAATTATCTAGCTTCTCTTTAAACTCTGTTCTAGTCCTAGCCTTCACAGCCTCCTCTGGCAAGGAGTTCCACAGGTTGACTACATGCTGCGTGAAGAAGAACTTTCTTTTATTAGTTTTAAACCTGCTACCCATTAACTTCATTTGGTGTCCTCTAGTTCTTCTATTTAGGGAACTAATAAATAACTTTTCTTTATTTGCCCTATCACACCACTTACGATTTTATAGACCTCTATCCTATCCCCCCTCAGTCTCCTCTTTTCTAAACTGAAAAGTCCCAGTCGCTTTAACCTCTCTTCATATTAAAATAATGGAGATATACCAATCTCCTAAAACTGGAAGGGACCTTGAGAGGTCACGGAGTCCAGTCCCCTGCCTTCACAGCTTAGTCTGATATGTTGCAACATCTGTTTCATCCACAAATGTTTCTCTCCTTTTCTCCTCCCATCTGCCTCCACTCCCCTGCTCCCTGTTTCCCAGACAAACAGACTCACAGGGACTCCCTGCAAAGTTCCCCTGGGGTTTAGACAGATGCCCCAAAAGCAGATTACAGATTTCCCGGTCAACGGGGAAAAGGGGTTTCTGGGGCAGTGTTCCCTGTAAGCTGGGTGCTTGTGCGGCCATGCTGGGGAAATTCGAATGCCGCCCCGCAGATGAGCAGAGCTTGGTATTGTGTTTTGATGGGTGGTGCACATCCACACATGCCTCGGCGTGCATAAAATTATTCCACACCTGGGTGGAAAAAAACCCATACGTGGATGGAAAAGATTAGAGGGATCATTGCTCTGGGGAGACACTGCCTGTCTCATTGCAGGAAAGAACCGTGCTAAGAGGGTGCAGAGACCGGCCCCAAGCGCTTTCCTGCGGCTGCCGGGAACTCGGCACTTTGCCGGGGCGAGCACTCGAGGAAAGCAAACGCACACAAGGCACACCTGGGTGGAAAAAAACCCATACGTGGATGGAAAAGATTAGAGGGATCATTGCTCTGGGGAGACACTGCCTGTCTCATTGCAGGAAAGAACCGTGCTAAGAGGGTGCAGAGACCGGCCCCAAGCGCTTTCCTGCGGCTGCCGGGAACTCGGCACTTTGCCGGGGCGAGCACTCGAGGAAAGCAAACGCACACAAGGCACCACCCTTTGGCCATTGTCTCTCGGCAGCGTGCACGGCGAGCTGCCAGGCCGGCGGCGGGAGGGAAATCGGCCGGAGATCTAGGAGGCCGGGGATTTGTGGGACCTCTCTTCTGATCACTTTGCACCGGACTCTTCTTCCTTTGAGCTCACAAGACTTGGCCTTTCGCTGGCTCCTTCTGCCTGTTTCACCTCCCCCGGGCTCTGTTCCAGGGTGGTCTGGGGAGCTGGGCTGCACAAAACGGCACCCGTGGGCATGGGCCCAGGCCACACAGCAGCAGCGGGGCAAAGCTGGGCACACCTCCCCTCGGGAATGGAATCGGGATGGGGGATGCAAACCAGGACTGAGGGGCACGAGGGCTGTGTATGTGGGGAGCCCAGGGCAGGGCTAGCAGGGGCTGTGGGTCGGGGCTGAGGGGCACTGGTGGAGCTGGGTGTGTGGGGAGCCCAGGGTGGGGCTGAGGGGGCCAGAGGGGCTGAGCTATGTGTGTGGGGAGGCCAGGGCAGGGCTAGCAGGGGCCAGCGGGGTGGGAAGGTTCCCAAGGGAGCAGCTTCCGGACGATGGCTTCCCTTCCCGAGGGCCCAGGTTCCTCCTCATGCTGCAGAGGGAGGCCGGCCCCTTCCCTGCCTCCATCTCTGCCCTTCCCCCGGTGCCGTGGCCGCGCTGACGCCCCGTCCCCCCTTCTCTCCCCAGCTCCAGTACCAGGGCGTCATCGACTACGCCGTGGTGCTCCGCATGACGGCAGACTCCATCTCTGCCCTTCCCCCGGTGCCGTGGCCGCGCTGACGCCCCGTCCCCCCTTCTCTCCCCAGCTCCAGTACCAGGGCGTCATCGACTACGCCGTGGTGCTCCGCATGACGGCAGACGAGTGCCTCCGGAACATGAACTTACTGAACGTCACCTGCTACGGTGGGTGAGATCGGCAGGGGCTCTCCCTCCCCCCCCCGCCCAGC